GTGAGGTGTGTGGGGTTAGGGAGTGAGTGAGTGAGGTTTAATGCCACTTTCAGCAATATTCCATGCAACACTAGTTTACATGCTGAAAATGCTCACAGTGTTTCACAAAATATGTTTAGAAAATATTTGTATTTGATGTCATGTGTATATATTTATAAATATATTTATGCAAGAGTCATATCCTCCATTTCATTTTGTATTATATTTTGCATGGGAGCAGTGTTAACATAAGCAGTAATGCTTGTTCACCAATCCCAATTCATTTTCATGAATAAAAATATGTTTAAACCAAATATATTTGGGAATTCAGAAATAACAAAGGTAATTATGAATTTCATTTTAAAAATGCTGGCTGACTAGACCAAGCAACTAACATTAGCTAGTTTTGTGAAAGCTCAGTACTTTTTGGAGAGCTAATTTTATGGACAATAGAAGGAAACACTACTCCTGATCAGGCCAGTTTGTCTGAGTCACATGAATAGATCTGACGTGTCTCCATTTACAAGTCGCCGAGTTCGGATCATTCAGTTAGCAAAAGACAATGCCAGGGTTCTTTGCATACAATGTGAATTTAGATAATATAATTCCAACCCATTGTATGATATTGTTTCCTTGAGCAATGTCACCCAGTGCTTTTGTGTTCTGTTGAAAATGATGTGACATGTCTTTCAGTGGCATTTAGAAGTTGTACATTGATGTCCAGGTGAACTGATGAAGGAACCTGGAATGGTCTCGAAACATCGTGAGAGAAATTAAAAAGAAGTTTAATCCATAAAAATATCTTGGACATGATGTGACATATTTTCATGACGTGTAGATCAAGTATGCAATAATGATGTTGTGATAAGGTTGTAACATAAGGAGTTACATCCCTTTGTAATGTCAGGATCCACTGTTTGTGCATTTCAATTCTAGATTCGGCCTGATCACACCCCTACAATTTGAAAATGAATCAAATTACTGCCTCACCGTATCATTACACTTATAATCTAGCTGACATGCTGAAATACTTGGACTGTCCCTGTGAAGATTTGGGTTAGAATTGTTCTACATCAACCAGTGTTTTTAGTAAGATGTGACTAACAGGGTTTTGTAGTCAGCAACTTGGCTGATCATAGGTGGATCCAGACGGAGTGGCGGGTGGGGGTGTGTGCACGCGCGCATCCCCCTTTTGTCCAGAAAGTTTGTTATATGAGTAGTGTTGGGAATTGGTTGAAATCTCACAATTGATGATTGCTTCATTACCAACAAACGATTGGTTAGCAGCATTTTCAGACTTTCCTATCCAGGTTGTTATTGCAGATATGTATAAGATGATGCAACTTGCTACTTTAAAGTGATGACTACTATATCATGACCATAAACTTTCTGGAGTCTTCAAGAAATATTCAGTCATGACTTTTCAGTTAGTGTGATGATGCAACTTGCTTCTTTAAAGTGATTACTACTATATCATGACCATAAACTTCCTGGAGTCTTCAAGAAATATTCAGTCATGACTTTTCAGTTAGTGTGATGATGCAACTTGCTACTTTAAAGTGATGACTAATATATCATGACCATAAACTTCCTTGAGTCTTCAAGAAATATTCAGTCATGACTTTTCAGTTAGTGAGTTTTCTAGAATTAAACAAGTTTGCAGGCCCCGACAACGTCGAAGATATGTTCCATCGTCAAGTGTTTTAAAGACTAAAATAGCACTTCCAAAATCGTTTGTGATCTATTATGAGAAAATGTGATTGATTGCTTGGTCGTTTGGTCACTGCGACCAATCTTCAATTATTTCAATTAATTGGAACACCACTATAAATGACCATTGAAACTTGGGTGCACATTTATCGAGTGACTGGTGTCATAAAATCTGTCATAGTCTTTGTTCATTGCAGCAGTTTTACTTTGAAACTATTGATGATGATGATGATGATGATGATGATGATGATGAGGAGGAGGAGGAGGATACTAAGCCTAAACATTTTTAAAAATACGATACACTGCTTCTCAATCGCCTAGTGTAAGAGTTTGTTGATATGTTGAAGAACTCCATATCTTGTTTTAACTATAACAATTTTCTTAGTCACACTGAGTCTGCTTTCAGAAAACTAGCATTCACCAAGAAGGACAAGGTATCTTATCTTAGTGTTGATCATGCATTGTGCATACATATACTGTATCCGGTTCGGCAATCCTTAGTTGCATTAAATGCTTCTCGACTAGGTCACCCCATGTCCTGGTTTGTGTGACCTAGTGTTGTAGTTGACCTTACGATTTGCTGAATTCAGTCTGTATTTCCTTATTTGGAGTCATATGACTGGTGGCTGAGCGGAATACATTTTCCTTGAAATGCTGCTTTGCCTTCCACACGTGAGTTGTCTGCAGTTTTTGCAGTTGCTAATATTGAGTAATGACTTCATGCATAGAACTGTGCTAGTAGGAGCAGTCGGTAGGTTACTGATTTATACCTGGACCATACTGCCCATAGATCTATAGACACACTTGGGACATGCTTGCAGAAAAAAACTGGTTTGTATCTTTTAATGAAGTTGTGGCAAAGATATTTTATGCTTTTGTTATGTATTGAAAACGCTTAACAGCTTGAAATCAGGGAAAATGTGTTTCGTGCTTCTTCTCCGAAAACATTCAATGAAATTTGCACCTTTTTTTGTGACGCTTATGGGTTTGATGGCTCATGCTTCGCTGCCCAGAATAACTTCATTTCTGGTGCAATATTACAAATAAAATTGAATTCGAGTTTTGAGTGAGTGAGTGAATATAATTAGTCAATGCATCAATTTTACAGCTAATCGTGGCAAGTAAGTTTTGAGAGTGTTTCAAAGTATATGATTATTAGTTGCATATATATATATATATATATATATATATATATATTTGTATACTAGTGAGGTTTACATATTAAAAATCTTTAATTTTATAAGAGAAATAGCTTGTATGAAATTTATAGCTTGTTTTTAATATTTCTGCATAATTTTTCTTTAAGAAAGAAGAAAAATGTAACCAGAAAACTTGATAAATAGTGTGCTGGTATGTACGTATCTCTGAGATTAATGGGGGGTGGGGCAGCCTACTGGTTATAGTATTGCTCGTCACGCTGAAGACCCGGGTTCGATTCCCCACATGAGTACCTTGTGTGAAGCCCATTCTGGCGTCGTCCACCATGATATTGCTGGAATATTGCTAAAGCAGCATAAAACTAAACTCACTCACTCACTCTGAGGTCACAGTGATATGGACATACATACAGTGGATTTGATTTTCTGTAACTTTTTCCAAAAATACCTGCGTAATTGAGAAAATGAGTAAAGTTGTTAGCAATCATTATGATAGTTCAAATGTTCATGTGCAGGAAATTAGGTTCTAAAACTTGTTGGTTCTATACTCAAATGATGAACTATGGCTAAAATATACAAGAAGCAGTAATTACAATGAGTTTGTGTTGTGAAAAAGGCAGGAAAAAGAGATTGATCTGAAGCATCATCAAATAATAAACACTGAAAGAGTAGTTAAGAATCCTTGATTACAAAGATTGTGTGATCAATATTATCTAAAATTGGCTATTGTGATAATGTGGACAGACTCAGTGACCTGATTGCTGCATGTCATTGTATACCAGTTTGCTCAGATCGATGCTCATGATATCGGTCACTTGGTTGTCTAGTCCAGACGGGCAGTGGAGTAGCCTTGTGCTTAAAGCGTTCGATGTCATGGCAAAGCCCCAGGTTCGTTTCCGTACATGGGTACAGTGTGTGAAACCCATTTCTGGTGTCCCTCGTCATGATGTGGCTGGAATATTGCTAAAAGTGGTGTAAATCCACACTCACTCACGCATTCATTCACTCCCTCCCTCCCTCTCTCTCTTTCTCACTCACTCACTCTCTCTCTCTCTCTCTCTCTCTCTCTCTCTCTCACACTCACACTCACGCACTCACCCACCCACCCACCCACCTCTAATCCAGGCTATTGACAGACTACTGTCATGTGTCTGGAATATGGCTCAGGGCGTCTACAACAAACATTGCCTGTTTTATGCAAGACATTTCAAAGCCTAACAGAAACGCATATTTCACTTGATATTCATTATATGTGGTACACTTTTATCATTATTTGTATACTTGAGAAAACAACACGGCTTTTTTTAGCATACCTAGGTTTTCATTAATCTCAGACCCAGACAAAAACAATGCTGCTGTCCACATGTTATCAAAGAAATATTAGAAAAAATATATGGCTGATTCTTATTGAAGGATTTTCAAGAGTACACCTGATCGTAAACATGGTAAAGATAATGTTTCATTGGACTTATGTGCCTTCAGCAGAGCTCTGCTTTGGAGATTACAATAGCTTAATAGCAACAGGTGCTTTCGTCACAATAGGGACAGATAAATCAAGCCTTGAACAGCCGAGAACATTCTGTATACTCGGGATGCTTGAGAGAAGCTTACTTGTCAGCGTCAAGTCTGTTTGGGGCCACAGATTTGTGCCACTTGCATAAACATCTTTTCAAACAACATTTATCAAGTTATTTGGAATTTTTAGTACAGGTGTTGAATTTTTCAAGATGATCTAAAGGTAAATAAATGTCAACACAATTGTTCAATTTTTATGAATATTCATGTATGTATTGGCAACAGATGATTTATTTGAAAAGTTGAATAAATTCATTCATTGAAGCTTAAAAATTTGGTGAAGAAAATAAGGCAATCTCAGAATGTGCAGTTCAGTTAAATTCATGGAGGCAGTTGTTCAGACATGACAGTAGTTTCACGTCTCTTTGAGGCTCACTTACAGTCCCATGGCCGTTCAAAACAATTTTGTTCACTAAATGTCAGATTGAAGTTCAAGTCAGAGTTTTCTATGCACTTGTATATCTGAATTCGTATTCAGGAATTTCATGGCCTACATGCCAAGACTATAATGTAATGCTGTCTATTTTTAGATCCACATCAAAACCAAGTGCTCACGTGACTTTTGTGAATACCAGTTGAACTGTCTTGAGTTCGCTTGAACACATGGATAGTATATTTATCTGTATATAATGATAGTGGTGACTCTACAGTGTGGAGTATTACATAGTGTGCTGAGTTTGCCAGTTGGTCCTGATTAGGAACTGGGCTCCTTGTTGTCAGGTTGGTTGATTTCTGCATGATTAATCTCCAGGCCTTGGATGAGTTGTCTGGGACATTCCTGAGGTGTCACTCAATATTCACTCATGCTTTGACACAGAGCAGTGTTTTTGTGACAAATTCATGATTTGCTTGTATTAATTTGATTTCAGTTTTAGTTTGATTTTGATTTTGACTTATGTTTTAATGTCTTAAATGCATGAATAGGTTGAAGAGATTTGTTGATTAAACAAAGGATATCTGATGTTGACATACTGATCAGTGCATTTGTCAACAAACTGTTCACAGACAGATAAGTCTCAAGTTGTAGCAATCATTGGGAAGGAGGGATGCCTGTTTGTTGAAGTCCCCAGTATCTTTTCTTGTCCGGGCGGTGGGGTAACCTAGTGGTTAAAGTTAAGCTCATGCCCCGAAGACCCGGTTCGATTCCCCACATGGGTACAATGTGTTAAGCCCATTTCTGGTGTCCCCCGCCGTGATATTGCTGGAATATTGCTAAAAGCGGCGTAAAACCATACTCACTCACTCACTCACTTTTCTTGTCCCCCCTCAACACATCCACCTCACTTGATTGGTTCAGTAAAAACTTTAAAAATGAATGTAAATATCCAGTTAGTCTGTCGTACAGACCCTGAAGCAAATATATCCAAGAAAGCCCACACAAGTCTAGAAAATGTGGCAAGTCTAGATTTCCTCAGCTTCAGAAAATGAAGAAAGTCTCAGGGCTCCTTTTCATTATATATATATTTTTTACTATGAACTTAAAATATGTTCAGAGACTAGTTGTTAGTCTAATATCCAGTATCTGCATCTCTAAGGGTCGGTCATAACTCTCACAGACCAAAGAGAATAAAAACAGTAATCCAACTCAAGACAATAATTGAAAACATTGAATCTAACTTGAGTCTGAAATTACATGTATTTGGAAAATCTATCTTAAATATTGTTCTGTATTCTATTTTAGTTTTTGTTTTGGTAGATAGTTCTTTTTATATAATGTCACTTTTTCTGGGACTAAATGTTGTTGGTTTTTGCTGATTCCTTCACATAGTACATGCTGTGATATAAGTGAAATATTCTGCTAATACAGTGCAGTTATCCCAATCTCTCACCAGATTTATGTCCTGGGTAGTTAAATATCCATCTCATTGTTCAGTTTGTATTTTAGTGTTTCTAAGCTACAGCTGACTTTTTTCCTTGTTTTGAAGGGGCAGCGGGGTAGTGGTTAAGGCGTTCGCTCGTCACACCGAAGACCCGGGTTTGAGTCCCCACATGGGCACAATGTGTGAAGCCCTTTTCTGGTGTTCCGCGCCGTGATATTTATGGAATATTGCTAAAAGTGGCGTAAACTTTGCTTACTCACTCACTCCTTGTTTTAAATGGGAGATGAAAAACTGTTCAGAATGACAAGACTCAGACAGCTTTGACAGGAAGAGAGTGATAACCCCCCACCCTCCACCCCCCTGCAATAATGTATGGTCCTGCCTCTAACTTGATGTTTGCAAATAACTGAGTAAATCAGTATGTTTAACCCATCCAAGTTTAATCCAAGAGCTATCTGCAACACCAGCATAATAATGTTTGAGTTTCTAGCCAGGTGAAAAACTACCTCACGCTGAAGGAGGCCTGCTTTTATAGTTTCACAGCCAGATTTTATCAGTGGAAGCTTGAAACATTGTCAGAAAGTCCAAAGTCCGCAAGACGACTATTTCCTGTTGTCTGCTGATAGACTTCCTTCTTGGTGTTTACATCCACGGTGAACTGGCCACAGTCAAGGTTAGATGTCTAGACAATGGTCCAGCCATGTTTTGTACCACTTCACTGACGACTGCCTTCAGGATGATCTGTAGATAAGGTGGTAGATTTTTGTTGTTGTATCGTTTATTTATGATTTGAAGATTTTTATCTGATTTGACTTGTGAAATTTAATCCAGACTGAAGCAGATATGCAGTATTAGAATTTAATTGGTATTCCACAGTACTTGAAATTCCCCTATAGTTTAGGTTCCCGATCCACTATTTTGTCATACAGACCCTGAAGCAAATATATCCAAGAAAGCCTATGCAAGTCTAGAATTCCACAGTTTCAGTCTGAAAATGAAGAAAGTCTCATTGCTCCTTTTCATTATATTTTATTTTGATTACGGACTGTTTGTTCTGTAAAATATGTTCATTTCAGAGACTAGTTGTTAGTCTACCGATCCACTAGCACTACGACATTCGTACACCTGGGATAAACTATAGAGTTACAAGTCATAACGCTTTGTGGATTTGGACCAAGATAAAATGCATAGTTGTGTTATAAACAAGAAATAATCACCATTACACAATTAATTTTAAGTTGCAGGAAACCATTTCAAACTGTTACATAACAACCCTGCATAATTACTGAGTGTAATCTTTTCAGTGCATGAACCTATTTCTGTACAAGTGTTTATTTACTGATCTAATGCAGCTGAACAAGCGTCAGCTTTGTCTACTGCTGTGAATAATGCATGTCTTGCTTATTGTTAACTAGACTTGTACATGACAAGAAACATTAGCATGTCATGTACATGACAAGAAACATTAGCGTGTCATGTACATGACAAGAAACATTAGCATGTCATGTACATGACAAGAAACATTAGCGTATCATGTACATGGCAAGAAACATTAGCATGTCATGTACATGACAAGAAACATTAGCATGTCATGTACATGACAAGAAACATTAGCATGTCATGTACATGGCAAGAAACATTAGCATGTCATGTACATGGCAAGAAACATTAGCATGTCATGTACATGACAAGAAACATTAGCGTGTCATGTACATGACAAGAAACATTAGCGTGTCATGTACATGACAAGAAACATTAGCGTGTCATGTACATGACAAGAAACATTAGCGTGTCATGTACATGACAAGAAACATTAGCGTGTCATGTACATGACAAGAAACATTAGCGTGTCATGTACATGACAAGAAACATTAGCGTGTCATGTACATGACAAGAAACAACATGACAAGAAACATTAGCGTGTCATGTACATGGCAAGAAACATTAGCGTCATGTACATGTTACGTGTCATGTACATGGCAAGAAACATTAGCGTGTCATGTACATGGCAAGAAACATTAGCATGTCATGTACATGACAAGAAACATTAGCATGTCATGTACATGACAAGAAACATTAGCATGTCATGTACATGACAAGAAACATTAGCATGTCATGTACATGACAAGAAACATTAGCATGTCATGTACATGACAAGAAACATTAGCATGTCATGTACATGGCAAGAAACATTAGCATGTCATGTACATGACAAGAAACATTAGCATGTCATTAGCATGCCATGTACATGACAAGAAACATTAGCATGTCATGTACATGGCAAGAAACATTAGCATGTCATGTACATGGCAAGAAACATTAGCATGTCATCATACTCTGATGTTGGGGGAACAGGTATCACTGGATCGTGTGATCATACCCCAGGCTATCAGGTAAAAATACTGTGTGAGCTCTGTATCGTATGCCATGGACATGTAATTTGATATCATGCGAAGGATAGGTGTCCTCCCATTTGTGAGAACTCCCAGTTGTGAGACACATTAATTAATGGTTCAGTGCACACAGGTGGTGCTTGCCCATCCCTACGATGAAAGTGGGAACAGCCCTGTTGCTGAAGAGTACCCGCAGGAGGCATAGTTCATTAATGAGTTAATCAACACAGAAGACATTGTTCGTTGAAGAGCATTTATTGTTTTCAATAGATACTGAAATACTGAAAAAAATTATCGTGAACTGGCGATATATTCTACTTGTTGAAGGCCTGCCATAATGGTGATCCGAAAGAGCAGTCAAAGGTTAATTAATACATTTGGATTAATTATAGTGACAACAGTTATTGCTAGATTTTTCAAACACGTAATCTGAGTAGGTAAATTAATTTCTCTTTCAAATGATCACAAAGTTACCTACACAAAGTGTTTAATTTTTAAAGCCATTTATCTGAGTAGGTTAATTACTTTATCTTTTAGAGTTTCATTAAGTTACCTCCACAAGATTCAGTTAAATAGCTAATCCATAATTAGCTGGGGTTAATCCATCCTATCAGATAGGTGAGTAAGGTGTGTTGTCTTTGCTAATTACCTACTCCACTGTCTCACAACTGGGAGTCTCACAACTGGGAGTTCTGACAAATGGGAGTAGACCGAAGGATATATGTTCCCATAAGCCAATATACTCATTCATGCTCAAAGAGTAATAATACACAGCAGGATATGAATTAATGTGAATATTATGTAGCGGAATGTGATCAGCTGCAGTCTAATTCATAAACCACTATAAATAACACACAGTAGATACAGTAGTCTGGAGGACTGTGGCTTGGGTTTAGCAGGCTGTATTAATGGGTTACCAACACGCTCAGTGCAGTAGAGCTTTACCATAGTCACTGTAATAAACACCCTCGGCTTGTGGAAAACTGACATTGTGTGGCACTTATAACCTAAAGACACAAGTTGCCGTTGTTATTTGAGGTAATTTAATTGCTAGTTTAAATGGATATCTGTGATACGCTAGTAGTTTTACTGTTCTTCGTCAACAGTTTTTTTAATTCTAACTTTATTCATCTTTAATTATTAATATAATTATAAAATGTTCTCGTCACGATATGGCTGAAATATTGCTGATGTGACGATAAATATTAACTCACTCACTCACTATTTGAGGTCAAGTGGTAAACCCAATTCCAGTATGAATGAAACATGAATATTTTTTATCTTGCTGATAAAACTAAATGGTAAATCATGCAGTTGTCTATAGAAGTGAGGACAGTTTTACACAATTTGAGTCTTGAAATTGCATGGTTCTACTTGACGCTGAATTGTATGTCCAGTATACACAATGTAGAGAATGGACGCAGAAACATACATATTGGGATGTACAGTAATATTCACTGTTCAAATTTCACTCTCACTCACTCACTCACTCACTCACTCACTCACTCACTCACTCACTCACTCACTCACTCACTCACTCACTCACTCACTCACTCACTCACTCACTCACTCACTCACTCACTCACTCACTCACTCACTTAGGAGATAAACATGTGTTGGCCAATTTCCGGGTGTTATTGAGTATTTGAAGCACGGGAATTCATTTGGTACCGACAGCCTTGAGCACGGAATTCATTTGTAAACGACGGCGCCAGCCGGAGGTTTCAAATGAAATATTCCCGTGCTTCAAATACTCAATAACACCCGGAAATTGGCCAACATATGATGTTTATCGACATTGTAAACACAAAAGTAAACCAAAAGGTCCACACACGTTTATGTGTCTGCACTGATTGACATCGAGTACGGGTACAGCAGTGAAATATCATCAGCCGGCCTTTTTCGGGCTGTTTCCCATGGTAGCATCTGGAACTGCTCATTTGTGACGTCATTCGGACTTTACGTCACAATATGATTTTAATGAAGTCATCACAGCTGACGACGTAACAATACAATGGTGTGAGCGATGTTTGCATGTATTAATACGCAGTGAATTTCCCTGGAATCGAATACCATTTGATCACGTTTTTCAACCAATCAGATTAAAGAACACAGTGACTTTTGGTTTACAATGTCATAGAAACCCCCAGTTTTGACATGATTGTAGTTAGCCTGGTATTGGATGAATGCACTATTTGCCTAATCGCTGGTAACATGAGGAAGATACATCCATCTTATGTGTTGTATCTGTTGTAGCGACATGATTGGTTACGTGACATGTTTATTTTAATTCCTCGATAATAAACTTCAAGAATTCATGCATAAATATTCGTATTCTTTACTATTTATCCGTAAAACTTGTTGCATTCACCTCATAGTGTATTCGTTGCAGCCCTAATATCTTGTATGTACTGCAAGCTATCGAATCAATGTTTGCGCTTCCTGACTGACAGCCCGGGATCAATTCCCCAGATGGTACAATGTGTGAAGCCCATTTCTGGTGTCCCTCGCTGTGATATTGCTGGAATATTGCTAAAAGTGGCGTAAAACCCAACTCACTCACTCACTGATTCCTTCCTAACAGAGAAACCTTGTGCGGATGCCTCACATACAGGAATATTTTAATCTAATTATATTCAGAGTCACATTGGTCGCCGCCCATCAGCCATGGGGTGCTGATTGTAGCCTAAATACTCAACACCATTATTCAACTGGCATGTAACCATTCAAGAGGAAGTTTCCAGTTCGCCCCTGGCTCCACTTGGCTGCTTGCCAACTTTTGTTTGATTGTCCTGCTGTGACATTTTATTTCCTCTATGCTGATGAGCTGACATTAAGATCCGTGAGTTACCGTATTACCTCTGAAAACGCTAGACCTCTATGGGCAGCTGGCTCAAATTAGCACTGGGTCTCTAAATAAGTAGGAATGCCAAGATACATTGATGCATCGATAGTTTTTCTAAGACGATTCAATTATCAATACATTCAAAACTGTATCGATATTTAGTTTTGAAAGTATCGGTTTAATTATGTTTATGTATTGTTTACATTTTGCAATTGTATCATGTTTTTGAATGAAATCTGCAGGCCCATTTTCTTAAAGTCAAACCAATAAAAACAAAATAGACTATACTGTACACAGTTCCACACTGTTTAATTCTAACTTATAACTAGTACAACACTGATTACAGTTGAAAAAGAATGACAGATAATTTACTGAAGGCCACATGGGCCTGCAAATATTTGAAACTGCCGGCCCGATACAATAACAACCAGTTTATTTTGAACGCTGTACAGGAGTCAGAGGCCCAGATAAGCTGCGTATCCGGGTAAAACATACGCATAGAAAATTTCCAGTTACGCATTGAAAAAATAATTGTTGCGTACCATTTACGCATTTAAAATGTTAGATGCACAAAAAGTTTAAAACAAATGCGTACAGAGTATATTTATAAAAATCGCTTGCGTAATGAAAAAGACATCGATTGCTATCAAGTTGTACTGTTAGTATAGGACAAGTATTGTATTTTTGTCAGTATAGGATGAGTGATTTTTTATGAAATCATTTCCATTATATTTAAGTTGGTTTTGATTAGGTATGACATGAGGCAGAACATACCTGCTTAGTTAACTTACTCAATGACGTAATACTTAGGTGAGTGAAATGACTGAAATACGCACATATTTGAAAGCAGTGGGTAACGGAAAATGAAATACCCACTCAACATTCATAATATCCACTCCCAAAAAATACAGTGGGTACAGTACCCACATGACCTAATTCTTATCTGGAGCTCTGCAGGAGTGATATTAGTGTGCAGGAATACGCTGGGTAAACAGTGTAGACTAGTTACAACATTGTGTTGTCATATGTTTCATGAACTGGGTAATGGTTTTGTATTTTGAGTAATTGTCATTGAAGGAAATAAACAAAATGGAGTCTTTAGTTCTTCGGATGGTAACTGACAAGAAGGCAACTATGTCCTATTTAATTTCTGGAGTACATCTGTCAGGAAAACGCCATCTTGCGCTGAGGGCTGAGTCATAAACTAGATCACCTACTTGTTTCTCGTGTCAGTTTGAATTTGTGGCAAAGGTTTCCTGGACATGACTTTTACAATTTCCTTTCCTGTTACACGAGGCATTTTTCTGGGCATAAATTTATTTGAGGCATTTTTCTGTGCATAAATTTATTTGATCGTGTGTGATTTTCCAGTAAACTAACTTGGATATAGACTGTCTCAATGAAGAGTGAGTATAGTTTTACACCACTTTTAGCAATATTCCAGCAATTATCACGGCCGGGGACACCAGAAATGGGCTTCACACATTGTACCCATGTAGGGAATCGAACCCAGGTTTTTGACACGATGAGCTAGTGCTTTAACCACTAGGCTACCCTACCACCCGCGTCTGTACAATAAACTGCGGGGATTCAGTAGAATATACCTACATAATTAAGAGATTTCATATTCAGTGAGTGAAAGGGTTTAAATGTTACTGTCATCGGTTTGGGCTGTTTATCTAAACATGTCTAAATGTCTTCATCAGTTTTGCTCAAAAAGATTTCATAGAAAACATGCCATCTGGCAGAGGTTGTTTACACATCCAGCTTTATCAGACTTGCGTTACAATCTGATACACTCGGTTAAGTTTGATTTGCTCGGTTGAGTTTGATGCATTAGGGTTAAGTTTGATTTGCTCGGTTGAGTTTGATGCATTAGGGTTAAGTTTGATATGCTCGGTTGAGTTTGATGCATTAGGGTTAAGTTTGATTTGCTCGGTTGAGTTTGATGCATTAGGGTTAAGTTTGATATGCTCGGTTGAGTTTGATGCATTCGGTTAAGTTTGATTTGCTCGGTTGAGTTTGATGCATTAGGGTTAAGTTTGATTTGCTCGGTTGAGTTTGATGCATTAGGGTTAAGTTTGATATGCTCGGTTGAGTTTGATGCATTAGGGTTAAGTTTGATATGCTCGGTTGAGTTTGATGCATTCGGTTAAGTTTGATATGCTCGGTTGAGTTTGATGCATTCGGTTAAGTTTGATTTGCTCGGTTGAGTTTGATGCATTCGGTTAAGTTTGTTGTGCTTGGTTGAGCTAGCTCAGTTGCATCTGGTAGGCACTCGCTCAGAGAGAAAATGGTCGATATGATGACATGGTATTCGCATTCTTAAGAAAATCGGCACATGTCTGCAGGCTATTTGGAAGTTGTAAGTCATCTGTTGATGGGAAAACTTTGCCATTTCCACAATCTATCAGTATCTTAATAGAATGTAAGCTGGTAAGACTGACTGACTGACTGAGTTTGGTTTTACGCTTTTATTTAGCAATATTCCAGCAACATCACGGCTGGGGACACCAGAAATGGGCTTCACACATTGTGCCCATGTGGGGATTCGAACCCGGGTCTTCGCCGTGACGAGCCAACGCTTTAACCATTAGGCTACCCCACAGCCCTGTAAGCTGGTAAGAAAGATAGTCGAACACTATTGTGTCGAACAACAACAAAACAATTGCCTGAGCACTGTTGTGCTGAACACTGTTGTGTCGAACTTATATGGTTGTTTCAAAGTGAAGAGGGGCGGTGGGTAGTCAAGTGGTGGCATCTGCTCATCACGCAGAAGACCCGGGTTCGGTTCCCCACATGGGCACAATGTGTGAAGCCCATTTCCGGTGTCTACCTGCCGTGATATTGCTGGAATATTTCTAACAGCAGTGTAAAACCATACTCACTCACTCTTTGTTGAGTTGAGTTTTACGTCGCGTCTGCATTATTTCAGCCATATGGCGTCCACTCACTCAAAGTAAAAGCTGGGTCCCAGTGTATTCTGTATGTTGTCATCATTTTGTCTGTATTTCAAACATCAGATATCTCGAGGTATTTATGTAGATTAGAGGTGGTCCGATCAACTGAAATAATTGAAGGTTGGTCACAGTGACTAAATGACCAAGCAATTGATCATTTTTTCTCATAATCAAACAAAAACATAGAAATACTTTCATTGGAATACTTTTTGCATTAATAATTTTCACAAGGCTGGTTTTGTCTGTCATTAAATTTACATTTCAGAAGCGCTACAAACTCATCCCAAGTTATGACTGAATTTATCTTAAAGACTCCAGGAAATTTTTGTTCCTAACTCACTAGGCAATTTGCGAAAAAACTTAAGAACTACATGTTGTTTTTATATTCTTTTTTAATGCATTAACAAACACCACAGGAAAATTTGATGAAAGACGCAAACAATTATTTTAGATGATTTATTGGTTGTAATGAACCAACCATCAGTTGTGAGATTTTAACCAATTCCCAACACTAGTGTAGATCCCTTCAACTTCCACACGAGAGAGTTTATACAGTTTTGTGTCTTATTTTTCAGATATCCTGAGCCAAGTGTGGCATGGTACTGCTTGACTCGAGTCCATGAAGCTTGAACAATGCCGTACAGAAAGGAGATATCTTACTGGAGTCTGCCGACATGTCCAGCAGACATTCAGAGAAGACACTTTGACTTATATTCCAAGCGGTCAAAAGATGTAGACAATAAAAGGCTGAAAAGAGGGGAGCACAGGTTAGTGATTGTTTTAAATACTTTGACCCTTAGGCTTGGAAAAAAAAATGGTTCTCAGGCAATGGGGGTTTGAACATGGAAATCAAAACAAAATGTGTGGCAGACTTTGTGATGATGTGGAGGTGCCTAATGTTTAACTTTATGTAGGCCTGAATGTAGATTGGAACAGGCCGCCTACACTGTTCTACTTGTAAGATGCGTAATAGATCGCGTGTCTGGTTTTAGCAACTTGGTTTGATTATGTGTCCAATTTCCCAGAAGACATTGGATGTTGCTCATAGAAACAACTAGTTTGTCTGGTTCTGACAGGATTAGGGGCAGTGGGGTAGCCTAATGGTTAAATCGTTGGCTCATCACTCCGAAGACCCGGGTTCGAATCCCCACATGGGCACAATGTGTGAAGCCCATTTCTGGTGTCCACCGCCGTGATGTTGCTGGAATATTGCTAAAAGCGGCGTAAAACCAAACTCACTCAGTCAGTCAGTCAGTCAGTCTGACAGGATTAGATACTTGCTTGTCTTTGTGATAAGCCAAAGATTCTGCTGTAATTCATCTCTGAGATAGATCTAAGGGGGATAACTCTGTGAGGTTAGTGATGAAGTGAAACCGGGCATGGAAAAGTTACATCGTTTATTAGTTTGGGTTTGCACACAAGCTGAACACTGCTAGAACACTGAAGTTATAACTTGATCATTATCAGTGACGGATCAGTTCTAAATGTCTGGTTATGACTCGATATTTTTACAGACTCCTGTTGTCATGTAGTAGCAAATAACTATCAGTAGAGTTTGGCGTCACACAACCAACCAACCAACACACTACATGCACTCACTCACTTTACTCCTTTTCCCACCACTCACTCACTGGTCACTCACTCACTCACTCACTCACTCACTCACTCACTCACTCACCCATATCCACGCACCCACTCACTCCTCTCCACGCAACTGACAGTCTGCTGTCATGTGTCTGGAATATTGCTACAACAAACATTGCCTGTTTTATGCAGGACATTTCAAAGCCTAACAGATAAGGCTTATTCACAGGTATAGTCAGTTTGCTGCAAAATCGTACCGATGAAATGGCAAATGAATATACAATCGAAGGCAACAAATCGTCTCAAATGACATGAAAGTTAGTCCATACCAACTCATCAAACGATCATGTAAATTAAATTTTGCCTCAAATGGACTACAGACATACATATAGATCTTATCCAGTTAGTGCATGTTTCTCACTCACTCACTCACCCTCTCTCATTTTCCAGTGCTGGTCAAGAAGAAACTGAGATAAAGCGCTGCTATGGGGGTGAGGAAAATGAAGAAAAGGTGGATCCGTCCAAAGATGACAAGCTTCCTAGAATAATACCTCAGACGCCATCCTCTGCATTTGAGAAGAGTAGCAAGAGTGAAAATGATAATGTCCAAGTCAAAGCAGTGACCGACAACAAGAAGGCTGAAGACACGAACAGAATGGCTGCTCATGTCAAGGGCAATCCTTTATGCAATGAGGAAGATTCTCAGGATACTAACAGTCACATGGAGGTTACACCCCAGTCTGTGTTGAGAAATCAGTTTAATAACTTGGATGAAAGCCCCACCACTGACATCAGAAACGAGGAGGACAAACTTACGACTGGGGTCCTGAACATCTACAATGTTATTGCTTCTGCTCTTCCCAAAGGCAACTTCTTGAACCATTATGTCACACAGCAGAACATGAGAAATCCTCAACAGCGGAGGAAGAACTTGCAGAAGCATGTGTCTGACGTCCCTGAACAGCCTGAGAAGCATCTCTACTGCGGAGGAGGGAGTTGATGAGAAGTGTCTGAACAACTCATTGGTTAGTCTGTACCAGAAGCTCCACTCCAAGCTAACTTCACAACAGTTGAAGAAAGTCATGGAAGCCATTGGAATGGAAGGGAAGCAACGCATGCAGGACTCCAATATCCTGTCAAAGGGAGGCGACTCTGACTTGAAGGAAGGAGGTAGGAAGGTCTGTAAAGAGAAGAATCTTTGTGACATCTGTCATGGGTCTGGTACAGTGATCTGTGATGAGCGTAAGGAAATGGTGGCTGTTGATGTCTTGGAGAAGAATTGTGAAGATACGGAAGTGTCCTTTGCAGAGAAATATAAGTTAAGAGAGAAGAATTCTAGACAGGGTTTCTTTGTGGCCAGTGAAGATCAAGAGGAGGAAGTACTTGACAAAGGTGATACCATGCAACCAGGCAATGGAACAGAAACAAGTGAGTCAAGTTTGGAGGAAGTAGTTGAGGAAACATCTTGTGAAGACACCGAAGACTCTTTTGATACAGCTGATAAGGCAGTGGATGAATCTATGGAAAAGAATATCTCGAAGGATGCTAACAAGGATGGCGAGGAGGGCTCTTTTGGAGGAGTTGATGAAATTCAGGATGCCCCACTGCCAGAACAAGAAGAAGATGAGAGATCTCCTTTTCACAAGCAGCGTACCTTTCCAGGTCCATCAGTTCAAGAATTCCAGTTGTATCAATATCTTCAGAAAAAGAAGAAGATGAAGAGGTGGAACAAAGCGAAGAAAGCAGGCCTGGGAAAACCTGGTGGTTTTAAGAAACACTTCAGGATTGACACAGATGGCCCCGAAACAACCCCGGACACTTGTGTGGGATCAGCATCGCAGGCAGATGAATACAGAAGTGGTAAGTGGATTTTGTCATCATCATCACCATCATCATCATCACCATCATCATCATCATCATCATCATCATCATCATCATGCATCAATTTCTTTTGGTCATGTTTAACATTTCCCTATGAATCTGAAAATAAATATCCTTGTATTACATGTTGCCATCTTTGATTTTGAAGAAAATAGGATTGGTAAATCCATGACCCAACACCTAAAATTAATGAAGGCCTAATGACAACAATTTAGTTGAATGAAAATTTTGCACTTTAATTATGACAACAGTTTAGTTGAATGAATATTTTACACTTTAATTATGACAACAGTTTAGTTGAATGAATATTTTACACTTTAATTATGACAACAGTTTAGTTGAATGAATATTTTACACTTTAATTATGTTCACAGAGAAGCTGGATGTACGAGCTGGGTATTACAGAACGAGGTCGTGCATGAATACAGAAGGTGGGGGAGGTAACTCTTCCCTGGGAGGACAAAGTGGAAGCTCTGGAAGCTCTGGAAGTTCCTTGAACAGAAATCGGCGAGGCAGTGTGAGTTGAAGATGCTGTTGGTGACTCAGTAGTTTGTGCTTGTTGTCTCATGTGACTAGGTTGTCGAGCTCATTGTCTCATGTAGTGTTGGGAATCGGAAACGAAATCCACTATCGATTATTGGAGGAATTGTGGTGAACGATTATCGATTATAATCGAAATATAAACATTTTTAATGTAATCACCAATTTTAAGGGTTTTCCCCAGTTTTTTCTAATTAATGTTTTTCATAACTAATACTGTCATGCAATGAAATGCACACATGCAAGAAAAATGCTGGAATTGTAATTAAACAATAAAAGTGGTTAAAATTTGTGCGCATAGCCTTATGCTGTTGAGGCATGTTTGTTCATCAAATTTAATGGTTAGTTTACTTCATTCAAGCGTGTTATACAAAAACAACAAAATTCTGATTAATTGAAAACATGTTTTTTACAATCAATAATTATTTTTAATCCTTGTTTCGATCGATTTTCGATTGATTTTCGATTCGAACACCACTAGTCTCATGGCAGACTGTTTGTACATAAATTTCACCATCCCCCCTAGCCATAAATTATGAACGGCACCTTAGACTGGTGGTTAAAGCATTGAGATGTCATGCTGGGTTTGATTCCCTATATAGGTACAATGTGTGAAGCCCCCAGGCATGATATTGCTGGAATATTTCTAAAAGCAGCATAAAACTCAACTCACTCACTCACTCACTCTCACTCACTCACTCACTCACTTGATATAAACTGATTATAGATGTTCTCTGTTAGGTCAACTTGCCCTGCTCATGATGTGTAGTTTGTCTAGTATGGCATAACAACTGTCCCTTATTATTATTATTATATATTATTATTATTAATTGTAACTTTGCAAACATCTGTGATGCGCATCACTTCCGACATCCTCTCACGGAACTGAGGTTTTCTGGGTAAGAGTTGACCCCTGCAACTGATATTTGTAATTATATGCATCAGCATCCTCCGTCTGTATCATACCAAAGACATACTTTTTGTTTCCCTGCCTGGGCAAGCCTGGGTAACAACAAGTGGCATAAGGCAGGACAAGCAGCTATACACACATTTGTGCATGCACATCGCTATGTAAGGGCAATACTCTTCAATGCAACATTAAAACCATTGGACTTCGCTGTTAGAGATAACACGATGAAAGGCAGGGTCAGACTCTGTGATTCATTTGATGCATGTCATCGTATCCCACCTGTGGCTGGATGCTCATTAAGTTGACCACTGGAATGTTTGGTCATAGTTGCTATGGTAACTGAAGCAACAATACCATCATTGTGAGTGAGTATGGTTTTACACCATTTTTAACAATATTCCAGCAATGTCATGGCAGAAATGAGCTTCACACATTGTACCAATACGGGAAATCGAACCCGGGTCTTCAGTGTGACGAGCAGACACTTTAACCATTAGCAGCGGTCGAAATACCTGCCTGCCAAACCGCCCGGGACGGGTTATTTTCAACACGGACTGCCAGATTCTCAAATTCACCTGCCTGACATTTGGGTTAAAATGTAGACATGTATATTAGTATTTTTTGTGGGCAGGTAAGGTTTGCTCAGGGCTGGAAGTTTTACATCTAACCAGCCATATGATCTGGCTGAAAGTTTTATGAGTTTCATGCCCTGCCATTAGGCTACCCCACCACCCCTCTGTCATCACAGAGAGCGGAAGGTCGCAGGTTCGATCCCCGACCGCGTCATACCAAAAGACGTTAAAATATGGTACTTGTTGGTCCCTGCCTGGCCCTCGGGATTAAATGATACAACAAGGACTGGTCGGCTCGGAGTCAGTATACTGTGTCTGAGTGGGGTATTCATGCTTCACTGCGGCATGGTATCTCAGTGGGCTAGCACTATAAAACCAGCTTCAGTCTGGGCTAGTACAAGCAGCCGCACATACACATACACACGCATGCACGTCGTCATATGAGCGAAATATTCTCAAGCACGACGTAAAACCCAATTTCACCTCACCTCTGTCATCACAGATGCTGTGGTAACTAAAACAACAATCCATACAATTTTACACCAAATGCAACAACGGATGTTTCTGTGCATGTTCTATATATCATGGTTCCTCTTGCAGGGTCGGCGAGACTCTGATGACAGCAACAACTCCAATAATCCTGATAATAATAGAAGGGTGAGTGCACTTTGTGTTTCAATTTGTAAAGTTAAATTCAGATTTTAACTTGAGATATCATTTGTAAAAGTTTTCTACAGTGACACTGCAAATATATTTCATTTTATTGTTTACCCTCCCTGTCACTGACTGTCAGGTAAGTCATGGTAGTTTGCTGCCCCAAGAGAATAACTTACGGGTTACGAGAGATTACGGATTATCATGGGTGGAAATAACTTTAAAATTGCTAGTGTACTCCGGTACAGTGACACATGTAAAATCACTTGCCCTGATCATTTTTCCACTATACCGGCCATTTTCTTGTTGATTTTTTAAATAAAAACATTATTAACATTGGAAAGTCAACTGGACACTGGTACAGCTTGATATACAAATTTGCTTGCCTGACAGATAAAAACACTGGACTCGGAAGTCGGGCAATGGGTTATTTCCACCCTGATTATAAAGTAAATATATAATTTAACTTCCGAGCCTTGGGGAGAAAATTTGTGAGATTAATTTAAGGGGACAGATAAGCCATAATTCTTGGTAATGAATAGTTTATTTTTTCTATATAAGGTAAACTACTCTTGTCATATTTGCCATATAAAGCCCTTGACCAGTTTGTAAATGTTATCTTTGCAAGTAATATAAAATAAATATTGATATTGAAGTTCCCTGGTAAGATTAAACATTCACATGTCAGTCCATATTTCCTGGTGCATATTTCCTACAACAGCACAGAAGGGTATATTATTGCCTGGAAGGGTATAATTTTGCCTGGTAATTATCAAGAGAAATATTTTGATGTCATCAATGTTTGAACACTACTGTTGAGGTTTGCTCACTACTGTTCAGTCTGTGACAGAAAGTTTATATTGTTTGGTTTAAGTAAGTTCAATTTGTTGTTGTTGTTGTTGTTTAACGCTGCACTGAGCAATATTCCAGCTATATTGTAGCGGTCTGTAAATAATTGCGTCTCTACCAGACAATCCAGTGATCACCATCATGAGCATCGATCTCACTGGGATAAATGACGTGTTAACCTATCAATTTTCTCAGCATTGCCAAGTAATCATTTCATAGTGAATCTTTCTGAGAAAATGTTGACACATGTGTGACATATTGTCCATTTTCATATTGCAATACTGGTTAAGCTGTTGCTATTATATCATTGATGTATTCTGTATTGTGAATGTTAAAATCGTAAACATTTCCTATTTTCTTCATGCTTGTCATAAGAAGCAAATAATTTAATCACATGATCAGGATTTCTCACATGGTTGATGTATAATAATTAAGTTGACCATTGCTTGTGATATCAATCAACGGATTGTCTGGTCAAGACATGATCATTTACAGACCACTCTCATGAATGTAATGAACCTGATCGCAAACATGTTTGACATTGTTTTCATGGGAAGATTAAATCTCACAGGGTCATGACCGACAGCCAGCCGACACCAGCCTGCCCCACCCTCAGCACCTCCTTGTGGAAGCTGACATTCCCGGACAAGACTACAAGGCGGTCCGCAAAAAACATGCCGAGATGACTGATGAAAAACTCATTGACTTGCTTGGCTCATTGGTAAGACGAACTGTTATTTATCCTTGATTATTTGTATGTGGTTATACAGCTGGAATGCTATTGAGTGTGATATTAAAAAATATTTAGATAAACAGGTGTGTTGAATTTGTCTCAGTGTGATAACTTTTCTGCATATTCCTTAAAAATTTATTAGTTTGTCCATCCGTGTGTCCGTGCACATTTGTCTTTTCCGGAACTTTAAATCTGTTCAATATTTCTTCACCTAACTTGGCACATAGATAGGTCTGGTGGTGAACTGGTGCCTTCTAGTAGTTCTGGATTTCTGAATAAGATATTTTGTAATCTGTACTTTATAAAGAAAGGGTAATCCCAAATATAACATATGTTACATTTGACCACTTTCCAAAATGGCATTGTGTATTTCATAGCTTTGGGCCATGGGAGCCGTGCCAATTAACACTTATCAGAGGGGTACACAAAGTCCCCAGTCTAGACTACCAGTTGTCCGACTTCCATTTTTGTGGAAGCCACGGTGGCTGAGCGGTCTAGGCGTCTGACTTTGTGTGCTGGCGATTAGGTGCCTGACTCTGAGGGTGTGGGTTCGAATCCCGGATGGGACTCAACCCAACAAAAGTACTAGAGTCTGTTCTTTACAAAGAAAGTGTAATCCCATCCCAAATATAACATATGTTACATTTGACCACTTTCTAAATGGCATTGTGTATTTCACACAAGATATTTTTTGCATATCAATGGCAACAAGTTTGACTTCAACTGAAATTGGTGGTGGTGTGCTTTTCCGAAGCAGAACTTTAAAACCTTTCAATATTTCTTCACCAAACTTGGCAGATAAATAGGTCTGGTGGTGAACTGGTGCCTTTTGGTAGTTTTGATTTCTGATTATAATATTTTTTGCGTTTCCATGGCAACAAGTTTGACTTTGACTGAGATTGGTGTTGATGCTCTTTTCCGGAGCAGAACTTTAAAACTGTCAAATATTTCTTCACCAAACTTGGCACATAGATAGGGCTAGTGGTGTACTGGTACCTTTTGGTAGTTTTGGATTTCTGAATAAGACATTTTTTGCATTTACATTGCAACAATTTTGACTTCAACTGAAATTGGTGGTAGTTCTCTTTTCCGTAACAGAACTTTCAGTACTCTCCTTCCACCTTGCAATATAGTCACTGACACATATTATTGTATCCTGATTGTGTAAATCGATGCTCATGCTGTTGATCACTGGATTATCTGGTCCAGATTCTATTATGTACAGACCGCTGCCATATAGCCAGAATATTGCCGAGTGTGGCATAAAACTAAACTCACTCACTCACTCACTCACTGCTATATACATGCCAAAACATTTGACATAGTCACAACTAATTGACACATTCATGAAGAGTATTTTGCCATCGCGGGGGGTACTTTGTCATCTTGTTATTATTTAGCCTCTGATGTGTCCGAATCTGATGTGTTGAAGTTACTGTTGACTCCAAATTGTTTCCAGTCATAAGCTCAAAGTTACTCAAAGGATCCTCACTCATCCGTGATCACTGTTCAGTTGTGTAATGTTTAACTGATCAGTAGTGTTGGCAATTGGTTCAAATCTCATAATTGATGATTGGTTCATTACTACCGATCAATCATCGAAAATAATTGGTTAGCGTCATTTATGAAATTTGTTAATGCACATAAAAATAAGGAAAAAACATATAGTTCTTTTAGGTTTTTGGCAAAATTTCACATCTTGAAAGGATGACTAGTATGTTGGGAACATAAATTTCTTGGAATCTTTAAGATAAATTCAATCATGACTTGAAACGAGCTTGCAGTGCTTGCGAAATGTAACAGACAAAACCAACCATGTGAAAATATTGTTAATGAAAACAAGTGTTCCAGAATTGTTTGTGTTCGATTATGAGAAATTATGATCAATTCCTTGGTCGTTTAGTCACTACGACCAATCTTCGATTATTTCAATTAATCGGACCACCACTACTGATCAGGATTAGTCTTGAAGTTTATTGGGGAAAGACATGATGGATAGCCACTGAAAAGAATTGGTTTCAGTCAGCAACATGGCTGAGCAATCAATTAAAGATGCCTAGCTTTTACTGAGAGGACAACTGGAGGAGATGTTCCTACGGACCCCAAATTTAAACTGGTAGTAAAATCAATCGAAACTTCGGGAAGCAGTGACAACATTTGATCAGGACAGTGAAACTAAATTGCCAATTCATGTTTCTATGTGATTCACTCTACCTTTAAATCGGTAGATGTATGCCAAGTTTTGTTGAACCTCATTTAAAATCTCAAAGTATTTATGTAGGTCTCTCCAGCTTTGACACAACACTGTTTGACTGTAGTGAGTGAGTGAGTTTAGTTTTACCCAGCACTCAGCAATATTCAAGCTATATGGTGGCAGTCTGTAAATCATTAAATCTGGACCAGACAATTCAGTGATCAATAGCTTCAGCATCGATCTACGCAATTGGGATATGATGACCAAGTCAGCAAGCCTGACCACCCGATCTTGTTTGTTGCCTCTTTGGACAAGCATGGGCTACTGAAGATCGATTCTCACCTGGATCTTCACTGGTGTTTGACTGTAGTTACTAGTGCTGGTTAATGCTCACAATATGCAGATCGATAATCGAAGCTCAGTAATCGATCAATATTCTATTGTAATCGTAAACCCTTACCACAAAACTCGTGTGGGCAGTAACGGGACACAATCGTAACACTAGGCAAACTAAACAGGCTCTGATTAATACGATGATCAAGACAATTGAGGATATTTCCTGTTGAGACACGCACGCGAGTATGTTGTTTACATTGTAGTTTTACAAGTCAGGAAACTGCATCAGTTGTTTATGCCTTGATCTAACAAACATAACAGTGAGAAACATACTTTCTTAGTTTAATTTGATGCAGGGCTCCAGATAAGGGCCGTATCGGCGTATGTACGGATAAAAAATGTGCATGGTACGGTAGGAAATTTTTTATAAAATGTAGCAGATACGCGCCACGGCAATGGTGTATGGTCTTAGAATCATTTACAGACGTATATATCTGAAAAAGTATTGTTTTATTGTATATTGACATGTTTACACAAGACTAGCAATGTTGTGGTGCATATATGAAACGAAACACAAGATTACTGATACGCCATTAAATTCCATTCAGTACTCTAAATGTAGGCTTAAGGTTTTCGAGTACTCCTATATTGAAAAAATAAGGAGTACATACTCCTGGTGTTCAAAAATTATCTGGAGCCCTGTTGATGTTTCATTCTTTATGAATACCGATTAGTCTCACGAGTCCATCGATTGTCTCTGATGCAAGTGAGATCTATGGATTGACTGATTATTTAATCAGTTGCTCCAGGACTAGCTTGGTGGTGGTGTAGCCCAGTGGTTATAGCGTTCGCTCGTCACGCCAAAGGCCTTAGTTCTATTCCCCACATGGGTACATTGTGTGAAGCCCTTTTCTGGTGTCCCCGTGTCGTGATATTGCTGGAATACCACTAACAGCGGCATAAAACCCAACTCATTCACTCACTCACTCCAGCACTAGTAGTTACGATTTGTGATTTCAGATCCCAGATACTAGTTATAGTCCGTTTTATTTTATTTGAGACCGAATAATTCCTCACTAACACAAAATGTAATTATTGCAACAAAACCATTTCATATGACTGTGCAAAATTTGGTTTGGTTGCAATTATTTGATTTTGTGTCAGAGAGCAATTCATCGGTCTCAAATGAAATCAAATGGACTGTGCCTTGTGTTTACTTGATTACATATTTGGAATGTAGTTGCCTGCAGTGTTAAACAACATATTTATGATTTCAGAGCCCAGATACAAGTCCAGGCATGCAGGGAGATCCTGGCTTGCTGAAAGACGTAAACCACTGCATGCTGATAGTTCTGCACGAACTTTCGAACCAGGATGACATCTATTGCTCAGTGTGCAACGTCCTGCACTACCTCTTCAACCACTTCGCCAGGTGCCAGCTGCTGTACAAGAAGTGCAACATCTGTTGGCAGGTGCACCGTCTCTCACTCTACCATGTGCAGTGCTGTCTCCAGGCAAAGAAGAGTGCACGAGAATCGTCGTCCGACATCTGTCAGCAGCTCCTTGAAAGTGTGACCTTCAACATCGAGCTGATGCAGAGTAGAAGCGAACAACTATTCTTGAAGATGAAGAAGTATGTTGATAAGGTGCTCCATCCTTATGGTCTCCATGGCAGCGGGTCTTTGGGGATGTACAGTATGTCTGAGAAAGGAGACGACTTTTCAATGGGTTCAGATCACAGTCTAACAGAAACTTTGACCTTGGAGGATTCATTGCCCTCGGGGTCATCAGTTAAAGGTCCTCAAGTTCCAGTAGTACCATCTGTGACTGCATCCTCCTTTGGTGGCCAGTTCAGTCGGACGGGATCTGGTCGAATCTATCAACCATCTTTGAAAAGAATTCCTGAAAGCCCACAACGGGATATAAGCTCACTGAAAGTGAATTTGAAAACTAGAGGGCGAGGACGTGTCAGCAGACAGCTGTCAAATGAGGCTCATTCTGGTGTTTCAAGATCCGCTCAGAATTCATTTGTTGGGTCGAAATCAGATGATGGACCTAGCATGGACTCTGTTAGACATGCCAGAAAGACTGATGTGCCTCAAGGATCTATTGGAGAACTGGCTGTCGAAGCCTACCTGTCACTGCCAACTGTTCCTACTGAGGGTGGCAGCAGTAGATCTTCATTGGGTCCTGTTGATGACTCGTCGTTAGCGACGTCAATCTCTTCAGGACATGACGAGGGTCCGACTGCGGAGTACGTCATCTATCACACGTACAAACCGATGATGGACACCCAGGGGAACATCTTCCAACCCGAAAATCGAGCTTACAGCACTGAGGGGGAAGTTGACAAGATCTATGGTGTCACTGGAGCAATGAGTCTGCCTATCAGGTCCACATTTCAGGGTGAACATGACCAAAATATCTCCTTGACAATGGCGCCAACGGGGGAGCCTGGGATCGGTGAGGTTGTATACGGAACCCGGCGACAGCTCAAGAAGGTGGCAAGGTTCTGGGCCAACATCCGGGGACAGCTGGACCATGAATCCTACAAGTACCAGATGCGAGAAGAAGGAGTTATACTGGAATCCGCCAAGGTTAGGTTTTGGTTGATTCTTCCGTGATTATTCCGTGTATTGTAACTCCATTCTGGTAAGGTATTTCCTCTGAACTCATTTGCCACAAGGAGCAGTGGGGTAGCCTTGTGGTTGAAGCGTCCGCTCGTATCCACATGGATACAATGTGTGAAGTACATTTCTTGTGTCCGCCGCAGTGTTATTGCTTGAATATTGCTAAAAGCGTCTTAAAACCATACTCACTCAGTTGCCACCATAGGTTCGTTCCAGACCTTTTGCTGCAATATTGCTGATGTGGCTTTAAGCAATATTCACTTCACCACCTTCAGAAGACTTCTATAAATCAATTATTATTTGAAAACATGAATCCTTCCTACTGAGGGAAGATCTTATTGGTTGTAATGTGAACAGCCTACAGAGTAGAGTGCTGGAAGATAGGAAGGTCGGTGTTTGGATCTCTGGTTGTTTTGTGTTAAAACATTAAAAGATGGTACTTGTTGTTTCCCTGCCTGGCTATCGTCAGTAAGAGGATGGAATGAGAACTGGTTGCCTCATTATACTGTATCTAAGGGTTACTATGGTAATTGCAGGATGGTATCAGGGCTGCAAACCAGCACTAGTCCAGGGTAGTTCGAGCAGCCACACACACATGTGCATTCACCTCGCTATATAATTGAAATAATCGTCAATGAAGCTTTAAACCCTATTTCAAGTCAATTCTCTCTATAGTTTGGACGTCACAAATCGGAGTGAATTTAACCTATATAACTTATTTCATGTGTTGTGTTACCACTATTTTGCTGTTTTGAATGTATTGTGGTAATAATATCGATTTCTGGTGCTACATTTTAGAAGCACCTTCGAACCTTGCGGACTCGCTACCAGAAGCATCATCAGTGGATGCGACTTGTACATCTTGGGAATGGCGTAGCGGGCAAGTGTCACCTGGCGAAAGATTCAACCACAGGATTCAACTTCTGTGTCAAAAGGGTAGGTGGCGCCACCTCACAAATGTGTCAACATGATAGGGCATCGGTCATGTTTGGAATCACCTTTCATGTAAATGTTTTAGTCCTTGGTGAATGTATTTAGAGAAGTGTTTAGCTCTATAAGTGCTGTCAGTCATCTTTCTACAGAAACAAAACATCTGTTCAGGAAATGAATGATCATAAAATTGCGACGTAGATAGTTTGTTGTGTGCACTAGCTGCATCCTTCATCAGGTGACTAAAACTGAGGAGAACACAAACTTCAGGTTACACTAAAACTGAGGAGAACACAAACTTCAGGTTACACTAAAACTGAGGAGAACGCAAACTTCAGGTTACACTAAAACTGAGGAGAACTCAAACTTCAGGTTACACTAAAACTGAGGAGAACACAAACTTCAGGTTACACTAAAACTGAGGAGAACGCAAACTTCAGGTTACACTAAAACTGAGGAGAACACAAACTTCAGGTTACACTAAAACTGAGGAGAACACAAACTTCAGGTTACACTAAAACTGAGGAGAACACAAACTTCAGGTTACACTAAAGCTGAGGAGAACACAAACTTCAGGTTACACAAAAGCAAACTTCAGGTTAAAACTGAGGAGAACACAAACTTCAGGTTACACTAAAACTGAGGAGAACACAAACTTCAGGTTACACTAAAACTGAGGAGAACACAAACTTCAGGTTACACTAAAACTGAGGAGAACGCAAACTTCAGGTTACACTAAAACTGAGGAGAACACAAACTTCAGGTTACACTAAAACTGAGGAGAACACAAACTTCAGGTTACACTCAACTATGGTTATGACTGCCTCAAACAGGGGTGGAAATAACTTTAAAATTGCTAGTGTACTCTGGTACAGTGGCACATGTGAAATCACTTGCCCTGATAATTTTTCCACTATACCGGCCGTTTTCTTGTTGGATATTTTAAATAAACAACATAATTAACATTGGAAAGTCAACTGGACACCGGTACAGTGTGATATACGAATTTGCTTGCCCGACAGAAAAAACACTGGACTCGGACGTCGGGCAACGGGTTATTTCCATCCCTGCTCAAAGGGACCACAAACTTTAGTTTGTTACTACTGGCCATAGTTTGTTATACTAAGTTTCAACATAAATATTATAAGCACGTGGCTGGGCGTAAAGAAATCAGTGGATTATATCTGTCAGTTTGTTGGAAGTGTCTTCATTATACATGTAGATTACTGTATTTCCGTGGTCCCTTGGGGAAATGGGGTAGGCTAGTGGTTAAAGCGTTCGCTTGCTATGCTGAAGACCCGGGTTCGAATCCCCACATGTGCACAATGTGTGAAGCGTAATTCTATTGCTGGAATATTGCTAAAAGTGGCACTCACTCACTCACTCACTCCAAGGAAGCTGTCATGGGTATAAATACACATGGTGCAATTTGGCCAATTGATCATCTTATAAAACTGTTCTTGAGATGAAGTATGAGCTGTATGTGACTATAGATAAGTGGAATTTGATGGCCCAGAAAACAATTCTGCAGAAAGGACTGGCTCATGTAAAGGTTACACTTCTGTCAAACAATTGTCTGTCCATGTAAAAATGGCGTTGTATTGGTTCAGGTGAATGATCGTGAACCATATGGATCAGATTGACTCAGAAACGTGTTTGATTACTTGCCATTGTAATTGCACTGTTGTTCATGATATCAATCACTGGGTGGTCTGTCCTGGTTTCTATTTACAGGTAATATTGCCGATGTGACGTTAACTATTAACTCACTCACTCACTCTATTTACAGGTTGACATAGCTTGAATATTGCTGCGTGCTGTGTTAAACAAACTACAAACAGAGGTGATTCTTTTCAGGTTCACATTGCCAATTACGAAGAGAATGAGCTGGTCATTTGGTGTGACCTTGACAATACCAACATCGTCAAACTGTACGGCGCCATCCGACATGGTCCAAAAATCTACATCCTCTGTGAATTTGTTGATGGTATGTTTTCGATGATGTATGTTTTCGATGATAGTTTTATTAGTTGTGGTTAATGGTTGTGGAGCTTTGAATAAGGGGTGTGGGATGACACAATACCAGCTGTTTTGTGTGGTCAAATTGATAGTATCGTCTAAATCAGACGTGGTCGGGTGGTCAGATTCGCTGACTTGGTTGACACATCTCATCGTGTCAATTGTGTAGATTGATGCTCATGCTGTTGATCTCTGGATTACCTGGTCCAGACGGGGTTATTTACAAGCTGCCGTCATATAGCTTGAATATTGCTGCGTGCGGCATAAAACTTAACTCACACAATCACTCCAAATCAGACAATTTTACTCAATTCAGGACCTCTCTCTTTCTGACAAACCCTTCGTTTCTGGTGATGACAGCAATGTCTGGCACAACATGGATTGCTTCATCTTCATCATTGAGGTCACATGGGTACAATGTGGGAAGCCCATGTTTGACTGACTGACTGACTGAGTTTATTTTACGCCGCTTTTAGCAATATTCCAGCAATATCACGGCGGGGGACACCAGAAATGGGCTTAACACATTGTGCCCATGTGGGGAATCGAACCCGGGTCTTCGGTGTGACGAGCCAACGCTTTAACCACTGGGCTAAACCCAAAACCCCCCCCCCCCATGTTTGAAGATCACTTATAGTTTCAATCCAGGGCACAGCGTTCGCTCGTTATGCCAAAGACCTGGGTTCGATTCCCCACATGGTACAATGTGTGAGGCCCATTTCTGATGCCCCTGCAGTGATATTGCAGGAATATTGCTAACAGCAACATAACACTAAACTCACTCATTCATCATCTATCATTGAAATCTTGCTGTGGAAGCACTCACGGAGTGGTTAAAACATAGTGTGTCCCAGCAGCCCCTCCAGGTTCTTTAATGGTCAGAGACCAGCTCAGACCCTAGTATTGTTGACGAGCGAGGCTTACAGAGACCAGCTCACACCCTAGTATTGTTGACCAGTGAGGCTTACAGAGACCAGCTCACACCCTAGTATTGTTGACCAGCGAGGCTTACAGAGACCAGCTCACACCCTAGTATTGTTGACCAGCGAGGCTTACAGAGACCAGCTCACACCCTAGTATTGTTGACCAGCGAGGCTTACAGAGACCAGCTCACACCCTAGTATTGTTGACCAGCGAGGCTTACAGAGACCAGCTCACACCCTAGTATTGTTGACCAGCAAGGCTTACAGAGACCAGCTCACACCCTAGTATTCTTGACCAGCGAGGCTTACAGAGACCAGCTCACACCCCAGTATTGTTGACCAGCGAGGCTTACAGAGACCAGCTCACACCCTAGATTGACCAGCCGCAGGCTTACAGAGACCAGCTCACACCCTAGTATTCTTGACCAGCAAGGCTTACAGAGACCAGCTCACACCCCAGTATTGTTGACCAGCGAGGCTTACAGACACCAGCTCACACCCTAGTATTCTTAACCAGCAAGGCTTACAGAGACCAGCTCACACCCTAGTATTGTTGACCAGCCAGGCTTACAGAGACCAGGCTTGACAGAGACCCAGCTCACACCCGAGGGCTTAGTATTGTTGACCAGCGAGGCTTACAGAGACCAGCTCACACCCTAGTATTCTTGACCAGCAAGGCTTACAGAGACCAGCTCACACCCCAGTATTGTTGACCAGCGAGGCTTACAGAAACCAGCTCACACCCTAGTATTGTTGACCAGCGAGGCTTACAGAGACCAGCTCACATCCCAGTATTGTTGACCAGCGAGGCTTACAGAGACCAGTTCACACCCTAGTATTGTTGACCAGCGAGGCTTACAGAGACCAGCTCACATCCCAGTATTGTTGACCAGCGAGGCTTACAGAGACCAGCTCACACCCCAGGAGATATCGTTTTGACAGATTTTGTACAATGCCCTGACAGTGGTATGACGTCATGAACTTGATGACGTCACAATGCTATGACATCGCTGCACTGCAAGTCTAATGGTAGTACAGTGTTGAGAGATGTACATTTTTCATTGAAAACTAATGAAGAATGATTTTTGATGATACATAGAATCTCACCTTCGTGTCTACTGATATCAATTATATCAACACTCATTGATAAAGGTAAAAATATCCTCGGCAAGCCTCAGATATTTGTAACTTTATCAACTCGTGTTGATATATACTGAGTCAAAAAAGAAACTTCACATTCTTTCTTCAGGGCACTTTAAAAGAGCAAGAGATGGTAAGATGGTTAAATTGTTATTATTTCATTGCTGAGATCTGTGTGATGTACTTCGATACACTGACAGTGCCATAATCAGTTCCATTAGGCTACACCGCCGTTCCAAAACATGGGTATACAGAATGTCAAGTCACAAGAATAAAAATGCGAAATTTCTCAGTTCAATATCGTGTATGGCCGCCCCGCGCATTCACCACTGCCAAACACCGTCTCCTCATCGACTGCCTGATGCTTGTGAACACGTGGTTGGGGATTCTGTGCCATTGCTCTTGCAAGGCAGCGCCAAGTTCCTGCAAATTCTGAGGTTGGTTCCTAAGACCACGAAGCCTTCTCTCAAGTGCATCCCAAACGTGCTCTATTGGATTAAGGTCAGGGAACCTCGATGGCCAGTCCATGACGTTGATTCCAGCGTTTTGAAGGAAATTTTGTGTCAACATTGCGGTATGCGGCCGAGCATTATCATGCTGGAACTGTAGACCTGGGCCATGAGCTGCCATGAAAGGAACGAGTTCAGGGGTGAGCACCTGGTTGCGGTAAGCAGCAGTTGTGAGGTTTCCACAGATGACCAGAAGTCGGGAACGGTTGTTCCCACAGAAAGCACCCCACACCATGCAACTTCCGCCCCGAATCTGTCGACTTCCTGTACACAACATTGGGCATACCGTTCACGGCGCCGTCTCCAGACTCTATGCCTGCCGTCCGCTAATCTGAGGGTAAACCTGGATTCATCGCTAAAGATTCGACTTCGATTCCAGTCTCTCTGGGTCCATCGGAGGTGACGTTGGGCCCACAGCAGACGTTGACGTTGATGAAACTGCGTCAATATTGGCCCACGATATGGACGTCGAGAATGGAGATTTGCAGCCCGCAACCGATTTCGAATGGTCTGTGAGGACAGTCGACCTCTAAACATCTAAGCCCTGGTTCGTGTAGCCGGCATAAATCTGTCACGTGGGTGACGTAGGACGATTTGCCGGTCTTCTGCTCGTGACCTCACATCGGATCGAATTCCGCCCTTGGGCGATCAGAAGTGGTGCCAGTTTGTTGTATACGACCTCGCAAGTCATACACAGTATGACGGCTGCATCCCATTGCTCTTGCGACGTCAATAACTGATCTTCCCGCTTGCAACATGCCAACGGCACGTTCACGTTGAACATTTGACAATCGTGGCATTTCAAGTACCGTTAGAACTGTGGTTTAAAAGTGTTTTTTCAATTCTTGAGGTCAATGCAAACACGTGTATATGAAGAAAACTTCGATGCGAAGATCACGTGATCGACTGCACATGCAAAACCTGATTTGGCACTAACGTCATTTGCACGACGAATGGATGGGTTTGAGTGGGTTTTGCTAACGTTTTTCTAGAGTCGAAAGATAGGGATCCCATTTCGGATACATAGATGTATCATCAGAGAAAAATTATTCATTATTTTTCAAATTACATTTTGTGAAGTCTCTTTTTTGACTCAGTATAATTGATATCAGTAGACACTTGGGTGACATTCTCTATGTCTCCGACTTAGTTATAATACACTTTTAAATCATGCAAGATTATGGCCTGATGAAAATGTTCCATCATATTAGCAGCTTAATGATGAAACCTTTGTCATGCCGACAATATCTTATTCTCATCTGTTTTTGTGATCTTTTGCTTAGTTTCTACATTCAATTTTCGGGCTAGTGAATTATTTTGTGGGCTAGTAGCTTTCAGGCATAGCTAGCCCAACTTGCCAGCAATATTTGGAAACTATTTCGAACACTGGGTCAATGAGACATACTTCGACACCACTGTTGTTGGCATACATGGTCAGTGAGACATACTTCGGCACCGCTGTTGCAGGCGGCAGTCTGACGTCACTCATCAATGAGCAGCGGAGTCTCAACCGGCGCCTGAGTCACTGGATGTGTCTGCGCTACTTCAAGCAGCTGCTGCAGGTGCTGGTGTATCTGGAGGCGCGCAATGTGCTTCACGAGGACCTCAAAGGTGAGATAGCTGCTCTAAAACACTCGTTAATGTGCTCTGTTTACTCCTGTTCAGACTATTGTCCGTAGGTCACAGCTTCTGACTGACTGACTGAATTGTTTATCACCAAAGTAACTGTACTTCTTGCTTTCAACGGGCAGTGGGGTAGCCTAGTGGTTAAAGCGTTGGCTCATAACGCTGAAGACCCGGGTTTGATTCCCCATATGGGTACAATGTGTGAAGCCCATTTCTGGTGTTCCCCGCCTGATATTGCTGGAATATTGCTAAAAGCGGCATAAAACTCACTCACTCACTCTTGCTTTTGAGGGGTAAATGTTGAACCCGCCGTATGATTGATGTTCTGTTCAAGGAAGCATTAAGTATACACACAGAAATTCATGTGTGATATTTTCAATATTTTGAAAGTTTCTGCAATATTTTCCAGCTGTATCATTAATGAGTGAGATGACCTCAGGTCAGATTATGACAGGAGTTTCCTGATTGTAATTCATTGATACGTTTGTCATGCTTCTGTCTAATTCACTTGCGTCTGTGTCAAAACTTTATGGTTTTAGAGTGTTAATAAATGTTCTGAGGTCTTATCTAGTTTATATAGCATTGTCACACTGATATTTTACAGTTATGGATGTTAATGTTTGTGTGAAGGATCACGACAGGTCTGGGCAGTAAGCGAAAGGCCAGATGACATGACATATGACCTTTAAATCCGTGAAGATTGGCGTAAGAGGTGACTAATGGGATTTGGGTGGTCAGGCTCGCTGACTTGGTTGACACATGTCATTGTATCCCAATTCATAGATTGATGTGTATTGTCTGGTCCAGATTGGATTATTTACAGATTGCAGCACAGGGGTGGAAATAACTGTAAAATTGCTAGTGTACTCCCGGTACAGTGGCACATGTAAAATCACTTGCCCTGATAATTCTTCCACTATACCGTTTGATTTTCTTGTTGAGTTTTTAAATAAACAACATAATTAACATTGGAAAGTCAACTGGACACCGGTACAGCGTGACATACAAATTTACTAGCCCGACAGAAAAAAAACAATAGAACGCCAGTGAGCAAGTGAATGCTGGCTTCTTGTCATACTCATCACTACCACACCAATCTCTTAGTGCATGAAACCGCCTCCGCGGTGTAGTGGTTAAAGTGTCCGCCCGAGAGCGGAAGGTCGTGGGTTCGATCCCTGACCGCGTCATACCAAAAGACGTTAAAATATGGTACTTGTTGGTCCCTGCCTGGCGTTCGGCATTAATGGGTACAACAAGGACTGGTCGGCTCGGAGTCAGTATAATGTGTCTGAGTGCTTCACTGCGGCATGGTATCTCAGTGGGCTAGCACTATAAAACCAGCTTCAGTCTGGGCTAATACACGCAGCCACACATACACATACACATGCATGCACGTCGTCATATGAGCAAAATATTCTCAAGCACGACGATAAACCCAATTTCACCTCACCTCATATTGCATGATGACATTCCACAGCGGACAACATACTTGTGAAGCGAAACACGACCCTGATAGCTGTCACCGACTTCGGACTGGGGAAGTACCTCAACGTTGACAGCGAGATGAAGGGGATGAGTCCCACAGGGAGCCAGACGCAGTGGAGCCCCGAGAAGGCCACCAGCATCGGACACGGCTTTGCTGCGGACGTGTGGGCCGCCGTCTGCATCCTCGTCCACATGCTGAGTGGCCACCCTCCATGGACACAGAGGTTTCCTGGAGCTCAGATGCTGCATTTTGTGGTATGTTTGAGGCTGATGACCAAGTAAAGCCAACCATAAACTATTTTGTTTATATTGTATTATTTTAACTTTCAGTCTATCAATTTTTGTATCAAGGCAAGCAACAGAACTCTAGATCTGTTCAGCTGTCATGTTTGAGTCATGAGTGGTGTGAAATGTGACATCTTCTGACATACTATTGTATGATGTTGAGGGTCAAGGTCACTTAGTATGACCTAGGAGTAACATATTTTTTGTGCACCATAGCTGGAGTATTTATGAGTGAAATCATCTAGATGATCTCTGAGTGACTAAGTCAGTTCCTATCCTACGTCATGATGATGTCAAATGTCAAGGTCAATATGAAGGTTATTCACTCACAAAATGACTTAATACTTAGCAACCCGTGACGGGTTAGAATGAGCCTTCAGTAACCCATGCTTGTCGTAAGAGGCGACTAACGGGATCGGGTGGTCAGACTCGCTGACTGGGTTGACCATGTCATCGGTTCCCAATTGCGTAGATAGATGGTCATGCTGTTGATGACTGGATTGTCTGGTCCAGACTCGATTATTTACAGACCGCCACCATATAGCTGGAATATTGCTGAGTGCGGCGTAAAACTAAACTCACTCACTCACTCACTAATAGCTAGCAACAAGTAATATTCTTAGATATGATTAGATGATATTGAAGGTCAAGAACCTCAAGTACGTCATTATTTTCGTTATTAGATTATCATAGGCATTATTTTCATTAGTAGGAATTAAAAATAACTTTGATATTTGTGTACTGCGATCTCTGGGCTGTCTTATTTACTATGTCAGTGCTGTAGACAACACACTTGAAATGAATACCTGTTGAATATTTGTGTTCTGGATGGGTTTTCTGAATGGAAAAGAACTGAAATCAATTTTGGAAGCTGTTGTCTGACTGGCTCAGAACCCATGGATATTTCATTTGGATTAGTCAGTCACAGTTGGCTCGGGATAACTCTGCATCACCTTGCTGATGTGTCATTAGATCTTGACACACAGCATAATCATACAGGAGAGTGTCTGATTTTAATGTGATTGGCAATAATGGGAGGTACGGAACGTATTCACTTCTGTTTTTAACAAGATGTTCCTGTTTCAGATCTTCATGCAGTCGCCACCACTGGATGACATCCCTGCCAACGTCCAGGAAGTGGTACGGGATCTCATCACCCAGGGATTCACAGTCGACCCCAAACTGAGACCCTCTGCAGCCAAGCTCCTGAAGCATCCTGCTTTCAAGGTTCTAGGTAAGCAAATGGATAGACTAACACTTAGTCAGTAACAAATAAACCCATTTAGAATTGAAAGGAGCCCCATTGAGATGGGAGATTCAGAACCTGAGGAAATCTAGACTTGCGTTGTTTAGGGCTTTAGCATTGCAGGGAGGGCTCAGCAGGAGTGAAAATATTGTGGTTCAGGGACTGTGAGACAGTCTAGCGAGGGGATTACAGGGCACTATTGTGGTTAAAGCATGAGCATGTGAGGCTGAAGACATCAATTACCCATATTGGTTCACTGTACGTCTCTCCATTAACATTTCTGGAATATTGCTACATTCAGCATTAAACCCAACTTACTCACTCACTCTTGGTAAGCCATGAACAGATTTATCTTGCATTCCAAACTATTTGGGAGATATTTATCTTGGGATTCAAAACTGTACTTTTGGAATGCAAATTGGGATCAAGTTTTTCACAATTTTATAATTCTTTATTTTAAAGAAAAGTAATTTGCCTGCACTGAACCAAGACTGGCGACAACTATTACCTGTGTAACAAAAATGATTTCCTCAGAAACTGATTCAAAGGATTTTGACTGAAATACTGTTCAAACTGACAAAACCCCAACTTGTCTTTGGAAGTTGTCACCGCGCTTGCTCGAAGCAGCAACATGGCGAATTGTCAGGCTGACGATCTTTATCTGTCACTTTCTTTTGTCTCTTTCTTAACTTCTTAGAATATATCTATATTTTGATTAGTATGAAAATTCTTTGGAAATTTTTTTACTAATTTTGGTCCTAAAATACTAATTTTTGCATCAGGTTTTGACCAAGACACTAACTGGGCTAAATTAGTGTTGGCATCTCTGTGACAGCCATGCTCTCAGTGCAACAATACTGAAAAAATGTCGAACTGAACTGACTCCTGATTGTTTGTTGCAGAACAAGGAGCCCCAACCAGCTACTACTCCACCCTGAAGAGCACTGGGCAGCCTCTACCGGACAATCAGCTGGGCCCCACCGAAGCAAGTGGACCTCAGGAACTGGAAGAGATTCTGTCCCAGGTTGCTCCACATGGCGCCAGGCAACCATCACTGTCAGAGAGAAGACTGCCATCTGTACAATTCCGAGTCTCTGGTGAAGGAAGCAGTGGCTCAGATCTAGCTTCAAGTTTAGCTAAGCACAACGAGGGGTCACTGCCCTCTTCCAGCTCTCAGCCTCAAGATGAAAATGATGGCCCAAGACCAGTTGCTCCCATGGCAGGAGCTGCCTCTGTGGTTCCTATTGCAGGAGTTGGTTCTACTGGCAGGCACTCTATCAGTACAGCTGAAGCTCCTGGTGCCCAAGAACATCATTCTGAAGAAGGCAATGAAGCATCATCAGAGGAACATCCACAGGAGCTGCGTAAACTGCCGACGCTCCTTCGTCCGGAGTTCCTTAGATGACATCCCCGATGGTGTGCCAGGAGACACATGGTCATTCTCCCAGTTATCCTTTGAAGATACAGACCAGCATATTCACAGCTTCCTGAGTGATGTTGTTCCGGTAGTTGAGTTTCTGCCCTCTTCACAAGCACTGCCTGAATACAGACCAGCTCAGAGGATACCATTAAGTTTGGATAACATGCCACACCTTTCGTTATTGTTGGACAAGCTGACATACAGTGGAATAATCCTGGACGAACAGAATACTTTGTCAGCTCAACTAGAAATGAAATCAGAGAAGGACGAAGCATTGCCCGAATGTGAAGATGAAGTAGCTCCATCTGCTGCCAGAGAAGACAGATTGCTTATTACAGGGCAGTCATTGGGAGGAGATGGATCATCCAATCCAGGGCAGTCCTCCAGAGGGGACAGGTCTCTTTATTCAGGGCAGTCCTCTGGAGGGGACAGAGCATCTGATCCAGGGCAGTCTTCTGGAGGGGACAGAGCATCTGATCCAGGGCAGTCTTCTGGACGGGACAGAGCATCTGATCCAGGGCGGTCCTCCAGAGGGGACAGGTCATCTTATTCAGGGCAGTCCTCCAGAGGAGATGGAACAACCAGTCCAGGGCAGTCATCCAGAGGGGATAGGTCATCTAATCAAGGACAGTCCACTAGAGAGTCATCACTTGAGGGTCTTTCAAACTCGCCAATGATAATGGCACAGCAAATCAGTGAAACTGGATTAGCAATGCAAAATGAGGGACAAAACACCCCAGGAAGACTCACACCATTGCCTGTTCTTCAGTCAACCCCTAATACTTCCTCACTAGAGATGAGAGTCACACCAAGTCCTCAGGATGACGTCGGCCCGACAAGCTACTATCCTCCAACTGGCTTTTATGAAGAACACATTCACAGCTCCGACTTGTTTGGTGACGGCTCAGAAGAAGCAAGGGCATTTCATGATGCAGTTGGGAAACTTGAAACAAGCAGCAACCAACAAGGTTCATCTCTGGAAACCATGGATGATCGTTCAGATTGTGGAGTTGGAACTGAAATAGAAGAAATCATTGAGGGACTGAACTTTGATTTTTCTGGAAAAACAGTTAATGCTTCTCCTCAGTCAGAGCGAAAATCAAGGCAGCCATCCAAAAGTGTGACCAGTTTCTTTCGAGGTACACCTGATTATGCTGTAGAGACCTCCAAGACAAAGGATTGTCCTATTGAATCTGAAAGTATTGACATACCTGGAGCAGGGAATGGTAGTCAGCCTTGTGAGGATGTTGCACATGCAAGGAAACAAGAAGGTGGTCGGTCGCTGGAGAAGAAGAACCCAGGACTCACTATTGACGTCACATGTAATAAGAAGTTGGCTTATAAAAGAAATCAGTCGACACCAGCGGAGAGCAAACCGAGATCTCCCCCAAGAGTTAAGCACCCACAGAGCGACCCGATGGTGACCAACGCTGGGACTGGGAAGGGGAAAAAGGTGGAAGGAAGTTCGGGGTTGGGTGCAAGTCTGCCTTGCCAAGTCCAATTGGAGCCTCATCTCAACTCAAGCCGCAGTAGTGATACTTCGGGAGTGTTCCTGCTGGACAAGGGGCGACTGTCCTCCACTGAGTTTAGCCCCAAGTCTCTGTATGATCACCAGGAGCAGGAGTTCAGTAAGTCCATTGACACTTTGTGAGTGAGTGAATGAGTGAGTTTAGTTTTATGCCACTTTTAGCAATACTCCAGCAATGTCACAGCGGGAGACACAAGAAATGAGCTTCACACATTGTACCCATGTTGGGAATAGAACCTGGGCCTTTGGCGAGCAAACGCCTTAACCACCAGACTACCCCACTGCCCCGAGTGAGTGTTAGGGCTGGCTAAAATTATCGATAATCGGACATATCGTCGATGTTAAAAATTACTCATGATTATTAATAGGAAACTTGTGTTATCGATAATATCTTACGTTCGCTTTTGTGATATAAAAAAAAAATGGACTGTCACAATATACAAAGTTAGGTCTTTATTCATGGACTATATATTAATTCTTTCAAACTTTTTTTAGCATTATTACTCATAGTTACTTCTCTGATATTTATCGATAATTGATCAATAATTAGTAGGATTATCGATCTCTATGATCTCTATCAATAGCCGGGGCGGTGGGGTAGCCTAGTGGTTAAAGTGTTCGCTTGTCACGCCGAAGACCCGGGTTCGATTCCCCACATGGGTACAATTTGTGAAGCCCATTTCTGGTGTCCCCCGCCGTGATATTGCTGGAATATTGCTAAAAACGGCGTAAAACCATACGCAGTCAGTCAGTCTATCGATAGCCTGCCCTATTTGAGTATTGTTTAAAGCCAGATCAGCAATTTTGCAGCTATTCTTCAAACTTGTTCTCCTTATGTAAGTGAGCACGCGAGATATGCATGTCTTAGTCACATACATGTCTATTTCTTCTCAGTAAGATAGTTTCCTGTATTAATTATGACTTCATATAATTTGTCTGGAGTTAGCACTCATCTAAATATGGATATAACTGGATAATACAGTTGTGTAAAAATAACTTAAATCTAGTTTGGAGTTGCTTGCATACAAATATGCATCAAAGTTTTCAATTTTCGAATACTTTTTATCCCCCCGGCATGTAATGCGGGGGTATATTGTCTACGCCTCGTCCTCGTCCGTCCGTAATCATTTTGTTTCCGGAGCATAACTCAAAAATCGTTCAATATTTTTCAACAAAAATTGGCAGATATGTGAGGCAGATCCCAAAGTGGTGCCTTTTGCTATTTGCAAATTTTGGGCATTTTTATTTTTCCTGGTTTCCATGGAAATGTTTCAGACTTAGACTCAAAAAGGAGGGACTGGTTTCGTTTCCGGAGCACAACTCAAAAACCGATTAATATTTTTCAGCAATAATTGGTAGTTATATCAAACAGAACCTAAAGTGGTGCCTTTTGCTATTTGCAGGTTTTTGTCATTTTAATTTTTTTTGTTTCCATGGAAACGATTTGGAATTAGTCTCAAAAGGAGGGTGGGTTTAGTTTCGGATCACAACTTCGAAAACCGTTCAATATCTTTCTACAAGACTTGACAGATATCTCAAACAGATCTTGAAGTATTGCCTTTTGCAGATTTTGGCATTTTATTTTTGATGATTTTTATTTTCATGATTTAAACTTAGTCCAAAAAAATCAAGTTGGACTTTAATTAACTGTCAGTTGATTTGTACTTTCAAATTTATGGGGGCGGGGGATATGTCATCTTCTCATGACTCTTGTTGAAAAATTATGATTGTTATGGGATGTGCGGGTACCTGAAAAAGTGCAAGTAATGTGGATTATAGTATACTGTGTGAGTTTAAAACATCTGGAGCTTTGACCAGCTGTTCAGGGTTTACACTGCTGTAACTATGGTGACCATGGTGCATGTGTAACTATGGTAACCTCTTGTGCTGCAGGTGCCCTTGGCAAGGCATCCCACTCTGATCTGTCTGGTCAAGAACATCAGGACATGATGGCCATGGTGGACATTCCTGATCAGGTAACACACAGAAAGGGCACACATATTTAGGGGCCTGTCATAGGTCTGTGTTAAAGTATGGAGTTTACGAGCGTGTTAGCGCTAAATATGCTTTTTGGAATGGGGTACTACTCTCGATGCTTAGAATTTTTCCTGGCTGACTCTTGACCCCATGTCAGTCTTTCTGAGCCACATTAAATTTAATGAGGCCACATTGAGGTTTGCAACTTGAGTTATTTTATTGATCAATTTTTTGAGGGTGCAAACAAGGAATAAATTTTAGCTCACCTGAACCAAAGATTTATGAAACCAAACTTCCACCCTAACAAAGGTCAGCCTTAAACATTGGGGAATGCAAGTTGTGTGTATATCATCATTCCTTATCTTGTTTCTATCTTTTCTAGGACATTCCTTTCACCCTTGATCCCGAACACGAGTCATTTGAAAACCAACTGCGGTCTGTGCAAAAGAATCTCAAGACTGAAAGTGATGGTAAGTTGGATTAGAGTTTCATGTAAAAGCAAGAGATGAACTTTGTGTTCTCAGGTTCCGAACTAAGATTTGCTATCTTATTAATTACAGGAAAACCAAACAAAATTACAGGATTCAAGTGTCTTGTGATTTGTAGATAAACTTGTTACTGGACCACTCCTGTTGAAATCAGTTCTGAGCGAATGGGTTTAGTTTTAAGCCGCTTTTAGCAATATTGCAGCAATATTACGCCAAGGGACACCAGAGATGGGCATCACACACTGTACCCATGTGGGGAATCGAACCCAGGTCATCAGTGCAACGAGCGAACACTTTAACCACCAGGCTACCCCACTGCCCTGAAACTGTAAAGAAAAAGTTCAGTAAACTGGACACGCTGGCAACAAACTGACAGATATGACAAATGATGGATGTAACACAGTGTCTTTTTGGTACCGATTCCTTGCTGTAAGTTTAAATGTAATTAACTAGTGTTGGGAATCGGAAACCAAATCCACTATCGATTATCGGAGGATTGTGGTGAACGATTATCGATTATAATTGAAATATATACATTTTTAGTGTAATCACCAATTTTAAGGTTTTTTTCACATTTTTTCCTAAGTAATGTTTATTTTTCCTTATCCTGACTCATGCTAATTATGCTTGTCTCCTTCCTCTTACGCATGATAGTGGAATACTTGAAAACCCTGGAAGTTCCCTTTTAAAAAAGTGGACGTAAAATCACTCACCCAAGAGTAGCTTCCCTTTCCTCCCTTTGGCGGCCAAATGGTCACATGATCGGCCATATTTGTCACTCTCTCCTTCTTCGCCCTTGAGGACGGTTGTGAGAGCACCTTGGTCCCTATACGGCACATATCCTTTTATATTTTTGGACCTAACATCAAAATTATTGCTGTATACGGTTTTTAGGATTATATTCTACATTATGTTTGGAAATTTGATTTAAATTGTCCGTTGTTACACATGTGTTTTCTTCATGTTTACATTTCATGAAAACTTGTATTCGTTGTAAGTACCGAGTGTCTGCGGCTGACCCTCATTTATTATGTCCTAATTGCACTGTTTCATGTTCTTTCAGCTCTTGCTATACGTTTTGTGTAAATTTAACCTTTGTTGAATTTACTAATTACCTTTTT